CAGAGGAGCCCAACTCACAAATTTGAGCTCGTCTTGATCAGGAGCTGGGGTATTTTTTTAATTTTGGTTTTTGAGTGCAGTTTTGAACATCATATCATAATAAATCTAAGAAGTGCAAAGGCAGAAGTAAGAGGAGTAAGAGGGAGTAAGAAGTAAACTGACAATTTCAACAGATCTGAGCCTGGGTCATTTCTCTCTGATAAACTTTGTGAATATAAATAAACTGTAAAAAAAAAAAAAAAAAAAAAAAAAGCCAATTTTTGAATGCCTTTTTGAAACGAACAGATCTAAAAGGACAAAGCAGCCCAAAGTCCCATCAGTAGAATGTCCCATTTCATCACCAACCAAAACACTACAACTACTACAACAACTACTGCTACTACTACTACTACTACTAATAATAATAATAATACTAATACTAATACTGTAACTACTACTACTTCTGTTATTGCTGCTCCCTACAATTTTTGTTTATAATTTTTCCTTCTTGTTAAACATGAGCAGTAGATATGACTTAATAATCATTTGAAGACATGACCTTTATTTTAAAAAATACATATTTAAAGGAAAAGAAAGACAATTTTCCACGTAGAAAATGTTACTACGTACAATATTTTATGTACCGATGACAGGGATGCTTTTTTGTCACTACCACTTAAGTGATGTGTATGTGAGGAAATACTTAACCCCAAAATAATACTCACAATCACTCCATTGTGCAGTGTGGACATACTGTCAAACAATAACAGATTTTAAAACATACATGTAATAAAATACAGACTTTTTATAAGACGTTAGAACAGGATGTTGCAGGACAATAAACGACTATAGTTTAACCTGAGCTGGAGAACAGAATTTTATGGTGGATTTTGCTTTGTAACTGTCAGATTTAAGATTTGTTTACCTGATTTATTGTTCATATCTTTGTTAGGTATACGGTAAAGTCCCCATAGAGAAATTTAACCTCTGCATTTGGCCCATCCTTCAATGCTGCTGGGTCTATTCATGTAAAAAAAAAAAAAAAAAAAAAAAAAAAAAAAGGCACAAAGTTCAGCGTCTTCTCCACCAGTATAAATAAACAAAAGCTTCAGAAAGTGGTGCCATTATTCAACTCCAAAATGAGATCGTTTTCAGTGGAAATTACTTTAAAGCTGCATTGTGTAACTTTTCTGGTGTCAGATGCTTTTCTCCATGGACATATTACTACTTTCTATCTTCATGGAGACCAAACCAGACCAAGTTACAGGTCAAATCTGTGGAGAGGCGACCCCGCTCACAGTCAGAATGTTTTCAGTTATAAAACCACCTGTAATTGAATAAATCTAAGCTAGAGCTGTTTAATGTCACACTGTGGAACATTTCTGGCAGAGCAATGACATGTCCAGCAGCCGGTGAAGCACTAGAAAAGTTACACAGTGCACCTTTATGTCAAAAGATTCATTATGAGGAGTTTATGGAGACAGTCACAAATAAATAATAAAGTTCAACAATTGTGGATATAAGTTTGGTTTGTTGTGGAAAATGTTAAGTGATGAAAATAATTAATTTCTGAAGTCTTGTCAATTGCGAAGTACAGAAAGGTTTATTCTTTGTTGCAGCAGACAGGGACAGGACAGGGCCTCCCGGTGTCTCCAAGCAAATCTCTGTCCAGAGCATCTGAATATTTATACCAGAATGACAAAACATTATACATGAGCTGGTTTGAAATCAGGATTAACATGTGGCATTAAAACAGTCCAAGGTGTGGAGTATTTAAAGAGAGAGAACTGACAAACAGCTGCTGCTCTGATTATGTCTATGTGTAAATACTATTGACAAAACTAGAGATGAACAAGCAAGATGAAACTAAGGGGTTACTAAATGATTCTAAAGAAAAAATAAAATATTTTTCCATTACAAACTATTTCAGATAAATGTCTCAGAGACCTGGTTTAGTCCTGGTTTAGTCCTGGTTTTAGTCCTAGGTTTGTCCTGGATCAGACCTGGCACAGATCCTGATGTTGTTGGTTTGACACTCAGTACGTCCCACATAAAAACATGGGAACAGTTTCTCTTTGGGAATGTTTTTATGAGTGTAAATAAGAGACATGTCACTGAAGTCATAGAAGGAAACTGTCCCACTGTCACAGTCCAATTGGACTCGGACTTTCTGGGCTTGTTGTTTTAATTTCACTGTCCCATTACCAGTGTAGTATTTGTCTGTGATGAGCCTTAAATACCAACATCCAGACTGTGCAAAACGACTCCCTGTTTCCCTGTTGATTGACTCTTTAACGACACCTAGTGCCCAGAAACTGTAGTCCCCCACCTCCACGTCCCAGTGGTGCCTCCCAGAGCTGAAACCTTCAGAACCCAAAACTATAGAATATTTATAGAATCTCTCTGGATTCTTGGGGACCTGGAGAGGAGCGTCTGCTAATGTGAAAGAGGTCAGATTGTCCGACAGACTGAGACATGGATGTGCAGTGTTTGGGTCCAGAACCACAGGACTGTCCTGGACCATCTCTCCCATCTTCTTCCAGACTCTGTAGGGCAAATTTCCCAGGACTTTGGCCTGGTTTAGGAGCAGTCCAGGCCCCAGAGGAGGGAGGGGGTCTGGTGGCTCTGTGGTGCTCTGCGCTGGGCTGTAGGAGCGGAGGAAGTCCTCGGCTTTCTTCTCCAGCTGCTTCTCCAGCTCCTGGATGTTCTGCTCCAGAGAGGCCAGTGTCTCTGTGAGCCTGCCCAGCTGAGAGGCCATGTTCTGGGCTTGTCTGCTCTTCTCCTCCCTGAGCATGGAGAGCTGGAGCTCCTCCTCCTCCTTGAGGAACCTGTGTAAACGATCAAACTCTGCTCTGATGTTCCTCTCACAGAGCTCAGCCTGTCTGTGCACGTGCTGCTGTGTCTCTCTGTAGCTCTGCTCCAGAGTCTGGGCCTTTGCTCTGTGCCTCCTTAGATCCTCCACCTGAGACTGGAGCTGCTCCTTCAGGTCCCTCTCTGCCTGCTCCAGAGGCACCACCGTGTGCTCTCTGTGCTCAGAGAACTCACACACAGGACACAGAAGCCGGGCCTCGTCTGTGCAGAACAGAGGGGGCACCTCTGGGTGAGAGCTGCAGACTGCAGCTCTGTCCTGTGACTTCAGTTTGTCACTGAAAGAGACACACAACTTCTTTAAGGCAAAGTTTATAAGAGTACCATCTTTAGAAGACTTCCTCCTGCAGACGGGGCAGTTCTTGGTGTTGTTCTTGTCCCAGTATTCATGGAGACAGTTGGAGCAGAAGCTGTGGTTACAGCCCAGAGTCACCGGCTCTTTAAAGGTCTCCAGACACACAGCACAGGTCAGATAGTCCTCCACTGCTGCAAACTGCTCAGCCATCTCTGCTCTGGACTCACTCTGAGAAAACTCACAGTTTAAGTGAAGAGATCCAGGACGTCGAGGCAGGGTTAGCAGGATCATAACATAACAACATCATAAAGATTATTGCCTGATTCATGCGTCACATGCACAGCACCAGGGCGTGCGCTTAAAAGGACAGAGGGCAGCACAAAACCATTACCCAGTCTCACCTCTTTGTGCAGGTGACAGGTCGCCCAGGTCGAGCTATTATGTGGACTTTTAATATCGTGTGTGTATTGAGTAACTCATACTTTCAGATCAAATTAAAATATAAAATAACAATATGATTTGGGCTGTACTTGGTGGACTAAAGAAGAGAGTGAAGGGGGCGGGGTCTGGAGGAATGACAAACACTGTGATTGGTCTAATAATGTCCACTTCATACTCCACCTCTGTTATATTTCCAGCCACACCACACCTGCAGATTAACTAGAGACATCTGACCTGCCCCTACCTCAGTTTAATGCTACAGGGAGTTTGGAGGACGGGAAGGCGTCTGACATAATTCTGTGTTTTCCCAGGGTTCTGAGCTGAGCGGCTGGTCTCTGGGGCGCTGGAGTCAGGAGGGCATAGACATCCACCATAACTTCCCAGATCTGAACTCCATCTTATGGGAGGCTGAGGCAAAGAAGCTGGTCCCCCGGAGAGTCCCCAACCACCACCTGCCCATCCCCGACTGGTACCAGGAACGCAACGGCTCGGTCAGTGGTGGACACACAGCAACTGGTCCTTCTGTGTGTCCAATCAGAACCATTTTCTTACATACAGCATATTTAAGAATGTACTTTGCAATGATATCACGCTGGAGTGTCAGTTCTTCTTGATCAGATTTAGTAACAGAGCTTCAGACAGAGCAGTACCTCCAGTTAGCTTCAACCTCCAGAGAATGTAGTTGGCATCAGCTGCAAAGTATCAATATTGTGAAGGACGATGTCACTGTGACACTTGTATTAAAAAGAGACAGAGAAGTTTAACTCTAATAAGATTATAAGTGTGAAAGAAGGTTGTGATCAGCAGTTAGTGAGAAATACACACTGGTAATCCGAGTTATGATAGATTATTATTACGTTATTTACATATTCGATACAATTTGTAGTTAAACATAAGATTCTGAATGATATTTGTCTCTTGTTTTATGAAAAGTAAAGCTAGAAATGAGCTGTGAAAGTTGTCGTTTGGACCCAGAAGTGACGTCATCATTTAACAATCTCATAGTTATATTTATTTATTTTGAACATGTGTCTTCAACATATATAATGCATCCTGACAATCTAGGTGAAAAAGCAGAAAACAAAACAAACAAACAAACAAGAACACATACAGTACATACACACATATACATACATAAATATAGCCATCTCAGACAAGAAAATACTATCCACCAGCATTCTGACCAGAACTGAAGAAGCAGCTTGGATGAGCTGCGAAACATCTTCAACCAAACTAACTTTTGTCCAGTCGACAAACTGAATTTTCTCCTCAACATGCCCCAGTTTTGTCAATCAGCTGACGAGAAGAACAACTGGAGAATTCAATTATCACTGATGCAATTCCACCCCCAAACTCTTGGCGGCAGAAGACCTATACAGCTTAATGGGAGAAGAAAGCATGGATCTATTAAAATAACTCGAGGGTGTTGTTGCTTGTAGCTGCCTCCAGTTGACGTAGTGACACTCATTGGTACTTCAGCGGAAAAAAATCTCCTGGGCCGAGAAAGGATTTTTCTCCTAGAGCGCAATGTAATCACAAACTAGGGTGACCAACGTTCGTTTTTCCCCGGACATGTCTGTTTTTTGTCCTGGGAGTCTGTTTTTTTTTTGTTTTTTTTTAAGTGATGGAAATGTCCAGGTTTTCATTTCCTTTCATTGGGGCCATTAAACTGAGCGTCTCTTGTCGCTCTCTGTAACTCAAAAGGAGCAAGCAGACACAAACAGTCGGTCAATCTGCAACATACCGAAGCACAAATGCGTATTTAACAATGACTTGAACAAGAAATTTTCCATTTTCCTTCCCGGTCAGGGCAAGTGGGAGACCATGTGCACAGGTTGCGAGGTGAGAGCAGCTCAATGTCGAGGCCCCACCCCTGGTAAGGTGTCCAGGTTTTCACAAATGGAAAAATGGTCACCCTATTCCAAACCGCTCGTGTTCGGCTGACAGGGACCTACAACTTTCAAAAATGTCGGATTTTTCTCAGCTCAAAACCCTTCAGTTGTCTTAAATAACACTTTATAATCAATAGCTCCGGCTCTACTGTAGCTCCTCTCACTTTGATTAGTCAAAGTGATCACGTGATACACGAGACCGCGCTCCGTGTGCGCGCTCATGTGCATTGGCTTGTGCTTGCAGGAGAAAAGAGCGCGACTGCACATGCTCAATAGGCCCACAGCCACCAGAAGTACCTCACCGGGCTAAAGTTGAATCTGGAATCATGCGCCATTGAGTTCGGCCCATCAACTTGAATGGGCGGCCATTCTGAAACCCCGGGGCTTGGAAGAAACAGACCTGTGGAGGACTTTTTTTTTTTTTACTGACTATGCTTGAAACGCTTGAACATTACCATTCACAGAGTTGGATTCCATACTTTACTGCTTCATAATGTTTCATTTGTGTTTGAAAAGAGGTACTGGAGGACTGTCCGTACTGAATTAATAGTGTGTGCTTGGTTATTCCCTGTACTTGGCCTCTGACTGAACATGTGGCCCCTTAAAAGCCCCTGTTTCAGAAAAATTCTGCCTTATAAGCTCCCAGCCCTCTAATAGTAATACTAATAAGAAAGAAAAACAACACACACACAAAAAAAGACTCCTGTTTGTTCCATTAGCTGGTACCCTTCCATATATTTGCTCCATAGACTGTATATGTATAAATGAACATGGCTAATGTACATTTTTATACGCCACATTCCATATAGGAAGTGAGCAGTGGTTCCTTTGAGCTCTGGTTGCAATTGGTCGAAAAATTGTAACTGCAGCTGTCAGACTCTTCATTCTGACCTTAAAATGTTTGTATTAACCCGTTTACAAGATGTTGGGGTTTTAATCTTGCTATTTTGTCCCTACATCAAGATATGAGCATTAACTGTCCACTGTCGTCCATCTGAAATTAAAACATTATCAAATTATATAACCCAGTCCTTTTTGTGTTTTTCTCACACTATAAACAAACTCCCTGTTATCCGCTGTGTTCCGGCGTCTCCTCCGGGTTATTTTGGGAGAGCGTGGTCTATTTGTGACGCAGACTTTGGTGCTATTTTTATCTCCAGTCCAGAGTCCAGAGAGGCTGCAGTGAGTCATGCTTCAGCCCAGAATAGAAGTCTGATCCTGGGATCCCCTAAGACAGACGGCCTGAGAAAGATCCTCTGATACAAGAAACATGGTCCCAGAGATGGAGGAAAGAAGATGAAGAAACTGTAGTATTATTAGAAGTAGTAGTATTAGTATTAGTAGTATTGGTAGTGGTGGTAGTGGTGGTAGTGGTGGTAGTGGTAGTAGTAGTAGTAGTGGTAGTGGCTGGTAGTAGTAGTAGTGTAGTGGTAGTAGTTGTAGTAACAGTAGTAGTTATAGTAGTAGTAGTGGTAGTGGTGGTAGTGGTGGTAGTGGTAGTAGTGGTAGTAGTAGTAGTAATGGTAGTGGCTGGTAGTAGTAGTAGTAGTGGTAGTGGTGGTGATAATAGTAGTTGTAGTAACAGTAGTAGTTGTAGTAGTAGTAGTGGTAGTGGTAGTTATAGTAGTAGTAGTAGAAGTAGTAGTAGTAGCGATAGTAGGGCTATAATAGTTGTAGTAGTAATGGTAGTAGCGATAGTGGTGGTGGTAATAGTAGTAGTAACAGTAGTAGCAGTAATGGTAGTGGTAGTAGTAGTAGTAGTAGTAGTAACAGTAGTAGTTGTAGTAGTAATGGTAGTGGTAGTAGTAGTAGTAACAGTGGTAGTAGTAGTAGTAGGAGTAGGTGCGATAGTGGTGCTATAATAGTTGTAGTAGTAATGGTAGTGGTAGTAATAGTAGTACTAACATTAGGAGTGGTAGTGGTGGTGGTAGTAGTAGTAGTAGTAGTAGTACTAGGTGCGGTAATGGTGCTATAATAGTTGTAGTAACGGTAGTAGTGATAGTGATGATGGTAGTAGTAACAGTAGTAGTGGTAGTGGTGATGGTAGTAGTAGTAGTAACAGTAGTAGCAGTAGTGGTGGTAATAGTAGTAGTATTAACTGATTATTGTTATTTGTATAATTGAAAAAACAAAATAAAACTATAAATATTTCTTTTTGTAAAGACTGTGCCTTCTCCTCCTGTCCTCTAGGTGGCAGTGGAGACACGAGCCCTGATCTCGTGGATGGAGAAGTTCCCATTCGTCCTCGGGGGAAACCTCCAGGGGGGGGAGCTGGTGGTCACCTTCCCCTACGACAAGACTCGATCTGTGGGTGTGATACGCAAGGCCAGCCCCTCCCCCGACGACCACGTGTTCAGGTGATATACTACTACTACTACTACTACTACTACTACTACTACAGGCTACTACTATTATTACTATTACTACTACTACAACTAATACGACAACTACTAATACTACTAGTACTACTGCTGCTATTACTACTACAGCTGCTACGACTACAACAACTGCTACTACTACTACGTACTACTACTACTACTACTACTACTACTACTACTACTACTACTACTACTACTACTACTACTGCTACTACTACTACTACTACTTACTACTACATTACTATGACTACAGCAACTACTGCTACTACTACTACTATTACTACTACAGCTACTACGACTACTACTACTACTACTGCTACTTCTGCAACTGCTACTGCTACTACTACTACTACTACTACTGCCACACACTACTACTACTACTACTAGTATTACTACTGCTACAGCTACTGCAACAACTACTTCTACAACTGCTACTGTTACTACTGCTATTACTACTGCTACTACTACTACTACTGCTACTACTACTACTGCTATTGCTACTATTACTACTACTACAGCTACTACTATTACTACCACTTCTTCTACTGCTACTACTATTACTGCAACTGCTGCTACTTTTCATATTACTAGTTCGTTTGCGACTAGTACCAACAATCTGTTACTCTAACACCGACTATTAATAAAATGAAATACTCCAGACCTTCCAGAGGAAATCCTTTGTCAGAATGAACCACCACAACCAAAACACCAGAGCGGAGGAAGAACCAGGCCTTTCCTGTTGTGTTTACATGGCGTCCCCTGGAGGCTGCTGAGATACTGCAGGAAACAAACAGCTCTGACACAGATCTGCTGACCCTTTCTGACCAGTACTACAACTACTACGAATACTACTACTGCTCTTACTAATACTACTACCTCCTCTATAGTTAGCACATTGAGTATAGTACTTTTCTGTGTTGTACATTTCTGTCTCAGGTGGTTGGCGTTCTCGTACGCGTCCACACATCGCCTCATGACGGCGGCTCAGAGGAGGGTCTGTCACACCGAGGACTTCGCCAAAGAGGACGGCGCCATCAACGGGGCGGCCTGGCACACTGCACCCGGGAGTGAGTACGACAAACACACACTGTCTACTTTACTGGAGATGTAAAGGTGCACTACGGAACTTTTTCTGTGTAGGATCTGCCACTTGCTGTTAATCCTTTCCTTGAATTTTCCAGAGTAGGGCATTAACTTATCTACCATAGAGACGGCACCAGGCCAAGTTACAGGTCCCACATGGAGAAGAAAGAATGCGTGTTTTTTTTTTTTTTTTTTTTTTACATAGTTGAATGTAAATGCAAATGAGCCCAACTAGAGGCATTTGGTGCAATTTTAACATTTGTGTGTTTTATTTTGAAGGCATGAATGACTTCAATTACTTATTATATATCTGTATGTGTTTTATTTTGAAGGGATGAATGACTTCAATTACTTGTTATATATTTTGTATTTTATTTTGAAGGGATGATTGACTTCAGTTACCTATTACATATTTTGTATTTTATTTTGAAGACATACATGACTTCATTCACCTGTTACCTATCTGTGTGTGTGTGTGTTTTATTTTGAAGACATGATTTACTTCAGTTACCTGTTACATATTTTGTATTTTATTTTGAAGGCATGAATGACTTCAGTTATTTGTTGTATATTTGTGTCCTTTATTTTGAAAGCATGAATGACTTCAATTATTTGTTGTATATTTGTGTCCTTTATTTTGAAGGCGTGCATGACTTCAATTACCTGTTATATATTTTGTATTTTTATTTTGAAGACATGAATGACTTCAGTTACCTGTTATATATTTTGTATTTCATATTTGTGTGTTTTATTTTGAAGGCATGAATGACTTCAGTTACCTGCACACAAACTGTTTCGAGCTCTCCATGTTCGTGGGCTGTGATAAGTTTCCTCACGAGAGCGAGTTACCGGAGGAATGGGAGAACAACAGGGAGGCTCTGCTCGTCTTCATGGAACAGGTACTGCACATAATACACGTTTAACCCAAAATAAAACAGTTAATCCTTCAGCTGGGTACTCCTGATCTCACAACTGGCAAATCAGAAACATAAATCAACAACAACACCATAAACGTATGCACACAAAATTACAGTGTATCTCTACTGGGACAAAATATTTCTACTTTATCACTAAAGAAAGTTGGAAAGCAGCATAATTTAATCTGCATACAACAAAATATCATCAGCATCGCCATGTTTGTTTTGGGCGCTTCACCTTTGACTTCACCCAAGCCAGAATGCTGCTCTGTGATTGGTCCAGTGGGTCTGATCCGCAGAGTTCATGTCACTTTTGATGTGGTGTAACTGTGATGCTGCTCCGCCTTCAGGTGCACAGAGGAATCAAAGGAGTGGTCAAAGATCTTCAGGGTCGACCCATCGCCAACGCAACCATCTCTGTGGAGGGCATCTACCACGACGTCAAGACAGGTACAGCCAATCAGAGAGGGGCTACGACCAATCAAAACTTGTACAGCCGAACAGAGAGAGAGGTTTAGGCCAATTAGAACAGGTTTAGCGAATCGGAGAGGGTTAGGACTCATCTCTAAATATTACTACTTAACTGTATATGGAGTTTTAAAAGCAGTATCTACTGTTCATGCCAGTCAATTAGTCCATTACTAGTGAAGAAATAATTGTTATTTTTCTGTACTATGATGAGATTTGAGCTGTAGAACCTCTATCACACCATAGATACAAACTACTTTACTACAATTTTCATAAAAAGAACATGGCAAAAGGAGAAATTCAGTTTATCTACTGGAGAAAATTTTATTTTGGTCGAATACGTTTCGCAGCTCATCCAAGTTGCCTCTTGATCCTTCCTTGAACTGAAATAGAGGACTCAGACTTCATTTGTCTCCTATTTACAACTCAGTCCTCAAACCTAAATCAAAACAAAGAGAACAATAGCTGTAGTCAGGTCAGGTCCAGAGGTGTGAAAGCTCCATTATGACTCTGAATGATTCTCCTAATATGATCCACACTCAGTGCAATTCAATAGACCTTACTAACAAATAGAAACTGTAAACAAGTACATGTGTTAGTTTCAGAGTAGTTTCATTGTAATTAGCTCCTCCCTTCAGGCAGATATAAGTAAGGCTGCGTTCAGACTGCAGCCTGAAGTGACCCAAATCCAATTTTTTGGCCTCTATGTGACCTGTATCCGATCTTTTAATGACAGTCTGAACCACACAGATCTGATTTTTTCAAATGTGACCCAGGCCACTTGGATATGTGGTCTTGAAACCGATACATATCTGATCTTTTGACATGCGACTTCAGTCTGAACGGCCAAAGCGCATTCATCCACCTACACGTTATCAACAAGCCACAAACGTCACTATTCTGCGCAGAAGTAGGCAAAAATTGTCGATGAACTCCGTGTCACTGAAGCGAAGCACATCACCACTCACCACTCTTGGCTCCGTCTCCACATCCACACGTTCCTTTCAACGGACGTTGCTGCCGCTGTCCCACAAAACACCACGGCCAAAAACCTCGTCCTTCTCCTTCTCAATCTCCTCCTTAAAACAAGTAAGTTGTTCATGTTCTTGCTCCTGTACGAGTGAAACTTTAAAATCTCCAGGTGCTCAATGCTCGCGTCCATGTTTGGACAACTTCCGTAAACACAGAGCACGCTCACTGCGGTTGATGTCGTCGTGTCTCCAGTGCACATACGGGACACTTTCGGGCCATTTAACGTTCACACAGGGGATCACATACAAGTCGCACTTTATTGGAAATGTGAATGACCTCGCAAAAAACATCGGATTTCACAAAAAAATCGGAATTGAGCGTTAAGCCCTGCAGTCTGAACGTAGCCCAAGTGTTTGACAGAATCTGACCAGAAATGAAGAAGCAGCTTGGATGAGCTGCAAAATGGATTAAACCAAATAAACTTTTATCCAGGTGACAAATTTTATTTCTCCTTTTGCCATGGATTCTACTAGCTTGATTCATCAGCCGGTTTCACTTCATGGAAACCGTCTGACCTCACAGCATTAGGATTCATTCGCTCGACAGTAGGCGGGTGCTTTTTTTATTTAACCAGTCGCTGCTATTTGGTCGAGATGTATGTAATGCTCCGCTAATGGGGTTAACTGTTATATCAAGCTATTCCCAAATCCCGTAGGAAGAAGAGAAGGGCAATAACGTCTGTTCCCTTGATGAAATTCACCAAACATTCAGTAGTACCCGCCTACCGTCGAGCGATCAAATCCTAAAGCTGCGAAGTCAGATGGTTTCCACGAAGTGAAACCGGCTCATGAATGAAGCTAGAGGAATACAGTGAATACTGACAAACCTCTCTCACCTCTCCTCAGCCGCAGACGGAGATTACTGGCGTCTGCTGAACCCGGGGGAGTACCGCGTGTGGGCCCGGGCGGTGGGCTTCGCGTCCAGCTCTCGCAGGTGTGAGGTGGGCTACGACCCCAAACCCACGCCCTGCCACTTCACCCTCACCAGGACCAACCTGTCGCGCATCCGGGAGATCATGGAGCGCTTCAACAAGCAGCCCATCCGACTCAAGCACCTGCACGTACCACGCGGCGACGGGCCAATCAGAGCCAGGCACCCGGAACACAGACCAATCAGGGAGAGGGAGAGGAGGGAGGGGCGGGACTAGGATCAGCCGGATCTGATCTAAGAACAGGAATAATTTAAAAGATCCATGTCACGCCGTGTTCTGATCTGTGTCATAATGTCGTTTCATCATCACAAACAGAACTGGAGCTGTGTTTTGTTTCGTTCACACATGTTTAGCACAGAAATCCTCAAATAGAAAACACTCAGTTCCACCTTGTGATGTGATGTGGTGATACAGGAAGTGCTCCATTGTGTTTTTAAACTCCACATACCTTCAGTAGAATCATTTGGATAATTTCAGCCCTGGAACTGCCGATCTAAACAACCAGAACTAAACTAGGACTAAACTAGAACAAAACTAGAACTAAACCAGGACTAAACCAGGGCTAAATCAGGACTAAACCGAGACTTAACCAAGACTAAACCAGAACTAAACTAAAATTAAACCACGACTAAACCAGAACTAAATCAAGACTAAACCAGGACTAAATCAGGACTAAACTAAAATTAAACCAGGACTAAACTAAAATTAAACCAGGACTAAACCAGAATTAAACCAGGACTAAACTAGAACTAAACTAGAACAAAACCAGGACAAAACCAGAACTAAACCAGGACTAAACTAGAACTAAACTAGAATTAAACCAGGACTAAACCAGGTCTAAACCTTAGTCTATCCATGGGTTTCAGTATGATGACAAATTATGACCTTTTGAATCATGAAAAGTCCTCAAAATGTCACCTTTAACAGGACCAAAAACCATGACTAAATCAGGACTAAACCAGAACTAAACCAGGTTTCAGCGTGATGACAAATTAGGACCATTGCCATAGCGATTAACAATTTATATCACAATATTATATCTTCTGAATTGTGAAAAGTCCTCAAAATGTCACCTTTAACAGGATCAAGCCAGGACTAAACCAGAACTAAACCAGGACTAAACCAGGACTAAACCAGAACTAAACCAGGACTAAACCAGGACTAAACCAGGTCTAAACCAGGTCTAAACCAGGACTAAACCAGAACTAAACCAGAACTAACCAGAATAAACCAGGACTAAACCAGAACTAAACCAGGACTCAACCAGATTGGTTCTAAACCAATTCTAAACCATAACTAAAATGGGTCTAAATTGCCAATCTCTACTGAACTAAAGGTAAAAGGAGCTGTTCACTTGAACTTGAACTACCACTTCATGACATCACAAGGAGGAACAGAGAATTTTGAGCTTTGGAGATGTGAACAGACTAATAATAAATAATTACTCAAACGTGTGAATGAAACAAAACACAACTCCAGGTCTGTTTTTGAGGAGGAAAACAACATTATAACACGACTTAAAGCTAAAAAGAAGAGTCCGTTTTTGAGGTTTTTGAGTAAATTCGGATCTTTAAAGACGATTTTGGTTCCTTTTGTGAATGGACTCTTAAAAGGATTTCTATTTTTGTAAACAAAAGATGAAAATAGTTTATTAGGAGATTAGGAAGGAGCCACTGTGTTTGTGCCGTAGACTGTGTAAAAAAAGTGGACGTCGCCTGTAAACCGTTTGTCTCCAGTCAAGTGAAGCTCATCGAGGCTGACGGTCCATAAATACGGTCTATGGTTGGTACGAGAGTTTTTATGAATATTTTCTGCACTTAGACTTTTGTGAATGTCTCGACTCTGACCATTTCATGTGTCAAAAGTTTTATATTTTTTACAATTATAGAAAAAATTATATTAATATTGTTTTCTATAAATAAATATATGGTGCTTTGGTTTGTGCGTCGAGTTTTTATTGGGAAAACAACAGGAAATTTTGGTAAAGTAAAAAAAAAAAAAGAAGCTAAATTAACCAAAACCAGGACTAAACCAGGACTTAACCAGGATTAAACCAGGACTAAATGAGAAATAAACCAGAACTAAAATCAGGACTCCCCTGATGCTTGGTCCAGGTCCATTCATGGTCTAGTTCAAATCTTGGTCTATTTTCAGTCTGGTCCAGGTCTAGATCAGGTCTAGTCCAGGTCTAGTCCAGATCTAGGTCTAGTCCAGCTTTCATGCCGTTTGGTCCAAGTATAGTCCAAGTGTGGTCTAGGTCTGGTCCAGGTCTAGTCAAGGTTTAGACCAGGTCTGCTCCAGGTTTAGTCCAGGTCTAGTCCAGGTTTAATTCAGCTCTAGTCCAGGTCTGGTCCAGGTTTAATTCAGGTCTAGTCCAGGTCTACTCCAAATCTAGGTCTAGTTCAGGTTTGTTTCATGTTGGTTTGGTCCAGGTTTAGTCCAATCCATGTGTGGTCCAGGTCTAGTCCAGGCTTAGACCAGGTCTAGTCCAGGTTTAGTCCATGTTTAGTCCAGGTCTACTCCAGGTCTGGTCCAGGTTTAGTTCAGGTCTGGTCCATGTTTAGTCCAAGTCTGTTCCAGGTCTGGTGCAGGTTTAGTTCAGGTCCAGTCCACGTCCAGTCAAGGTCTGGTCCAAGTTGAGTCAATGTTTAGTCCAGGTCTACTCCAGGTCTGGTCCAGGTTTAGTTCGGGTCTGGTCCAGGTTTAGTTCAGGTTTAGTCCATGTTTATTCAAGATCTGGTCCAGGTCTGGTCTAGATATAGTCCATGTTTGGTCTTGGTCTAGTCCAGATTTAGTTCAGGTCTAGTCCAGGTCTACTCCAAGTCTGATCCAGGTTTAGTCCATGTCTGGTCCAGGTTTATTCCAGGTCTAGTCAGGTCTAGTCCATGTTTAGTCCATGTTTAGTCAAGGTCTGGTCCAGGTCTGGTCCACATAGAGTCCATATGTGCTCCAGGTCGAGTCCAGGTCTGGTCCAGGTCTAGCTCAAGTGTGGTCCAGGTCTAATACAGATCTAGTCCAGGTCTGATCCATGTGTGGTCCAGGTCTAGTCCAGGTCTGGTCCAGATTTAGTCAAGGTCTGGTCCAAATCTAGTCCATGTGTGGTCCCAGGTCTAATCCAGGCTTAGTCCAGGTCTGGTCCAGGTCTAGTTCAGATCTGGTCTCACACAGAGATCTGAAGTCCGTGTTAAACCGGTTGAGATCCGCGGGGGGCAGATTAGAGCAGGTCCTGGGGTTTTCACACAAACAGATGGTGTCAGAAAAAATACAGAAAAATGACAGTCAGATAAAAATGAACTGATTTACCTCAAAGAAAAGTGGAAACGAGGAAAAGTTAAATTATTATTTCAGAGACAAAAACTGAAACTGCAACGATAAAAACAGATTAACAAAAAATTAACAACAATTTAAAACCAAATCTATATTTCTTTTTTTAATTCAAATTATTCTGAACATAATTTTAACTCCATTCATAAAAAAAAAAAAAAAACGTGACCTACTTTATTTATTTTTCTACTTAAATAATTATAATATTGTTCTAGTACAAGGTTAGACTTGTACTAAAAACTCAGTGGGTTTAAGAAAAATGTAAAAAGTTTAAACCGTTAAAGTAATTAACAATTTAAAGGTAAATATTATTGTTTTTGAATTGTGAAAAGTTCCTGTATGTCGTTTATAAAAGGAAACTGGAGAACCAGAACTAAACCATGTTAAAACTGGGTCTAAACCAGAACTAAACCAGGTTTAAACTGGGTCTAAACCAAGACTAAACCAGAACTAAACCAGGTTTAAACCAGGTCTAAACTAGGACTAAACCGGGTTTAAAACAGGACTAAACCAAGTCTACGCCAGGACTAAACCAGGACTAAACCAGGACTAAACCGAACTGGGTCTAAACCAGGAATAAATCAAAATTAACCAGAACTAAATCAGGACTAAACTGTATCAAAACTGGTTCTAAACCAGGACTAAACCAGAACTAAACCAGGACTAAACAAGAACTAATCCAAACCAACTTTAAACTAAGACTAAACGGTGTCAAAACTGGGTCTAAACCAGGACTAAACCAGGATTAAACCAGAACTAAACCGAACTGGGTCTAAACAGGTCTAAACCACGACTAAACCAGGATTAAACTGGGTTTAAACTGACTCTAAAATAGGACTAAACCAGGATTAAACCAGAACTAAAACAAACTGCATCTCAACCAGGTCTAAACCAGGACTAAAGCAGGACAAACTGGGTTTAAACTGGGTCTAAACCAGAACTAAACCAGGACTAAACTAAAATCCTTAAATATGGTTTAATTTGGGCTCAGATATGAAAACAAACAAATTAAAAAAACAAAACAAACAAACAAAAAAACAGAAACTTGTAATTTCATTTTTTTAAAACATTCATTTCTTTAATCTCACGACCAACAAATACAAGTTTTATTTCCAAAATGTTCTACAAAAACCACATTATGTTATAATTCTGATTTCTACATCACTTTATAAACTCTGAGCAGCACTGACGACGGACACAGGAACTTTGTGAAAACTTTCGAGGTATTTCACATTCATTAAAAAAAAACCAAACAAACAAAAAAACATATAAATAAATTCTAACATTTAAAAAAATAATTCATTACATTAAATTTACATTCACAGGAAACTCACAGATTCTGCCTCGAGTTTCAGCAGATTCAGAAACAGCTCAGTGAAAAAGGCCAGAGAGGAAACTAGAACATCGTCTAGAGCAAAAATAAACCACATATTTAAAGATGCATTGCGGAACTTTTCTGATGGAGGGTTTAAGGCAATTTTACTCATTTATTTTTTTCTTAATTCCCTCCCCCCAAAAATTGGAGAGTGAAATTTGTGAAACTTTTTCTGAAAATGCTCCAGACTCTGAGGGTCAAGTCCAAGGACGAGCACTTTGTTTAAAAAAAAAAAAAAAAAAAACTGTATTAGAAATTTTACAAATGCTACAATATTTACTCAAAATGTGAATGTGAAACTATTAAAGAGAGAGAAAGAGAGAGAGAAAAAAGAGAGAGAGAGAGAGGTACAGAGTGAGAGAGAGAGAGTGAGTCAGAGAGAGAAAGAATGATATATAGAGAGAGTGAGTAGGTGAAAGAGAGAGAGAAGAGAAAGAGAGAGAGACAGAAGAGAGATAAAAGAGAAAGAGAGAGAGTGACAGAGAGAAAGAGAGAGAGAGAGGGAGAGAGAGAGAGA